CATTACATATATTCAAATCACTGCACCTCAAGTACATCACGATAAACATGAACCGTTTACTTTCATACTAGCTACACTAACTACACGTGCAATGGGATTTACCATTCACGCAACAGTATTTACCAAAAACCAGCAGCAATATGACAGCAGATGCATTGCATATATTCAAATGACTGCACCTCAAGTACAGCACGGTAAACATTGAACCATAACTTTCATACTAACTACACTACACGTGCAATGGGATTTACCATTCATGCAACACTATTTATCAAAAAACAGTAGCAATATGACAGCAGATACAGTATTTATGACATGATTGAACCATTAACTTTCATACTAACTACACGTGCAATGGGATTTACCATTCACGCAACAGTATTTACCAAAAACCAGCAGCAATATGACAACAGATGCATTACATATATTCAAATGTCTGCACCTCAAGTACAGCACGGTAAACATTGAACCATAACTTTCATACTAACTACACTACACATGCAATGGGATTTACCATTCACGCAACACTATTTACACCAAAAAATCACCATATCTATTGACATCTAAGTTCAACTTGGGTTTGGATTCTTGCACGTTCTTCTTGTATGCCCAACTTGTTTGCATGTGCTACAATGGTAGATCTTCCTATTCTGGAACTGTGACTCTCGTCTTTTTATTTTAGGCCTTCCTGGTGGTCGATTAGTCAAAGGCGGTGCCAAGAACATTTGACTTCCTATATTTTCCACCCAGTAATTGTTAGGATTTGGCATGTCTACTGTCGCCACTGGAATCATACTCCTGCCATAAATCTTTTGTTGTGATGTAATCTTGTAGCATTCATCAACAAAATCATAGACATTGCAATTCACAGCCTTAATAGCTGCACAGGCATGGGGACATGGAATGCCTGACATTTGCCAAGCTGCATAGGTGCATTCGCCTAGACCAAGATCAACATGTACAGCTCCTTTTGCTGTATGGACATACACCCTACCTCCTCCATAAGGTACACTCAGCATGCATGCTGATCTAGCAACATTGTCCACCAATTTTGCATCTATGTTTGGGCCTACACCATTTTTCCAATTACTCATTGCTATGCTTGCTGCATACATCTTCTTTGCCACTTTCTCACGATGCTCATGTATAAGTTGGGCAACATTATATCGTCTCTCTTTCAACATCCAAGCATTGAATGACTCAGCAAGGTTTGTTGTGATGTTATCCCACCGTTTAAATGGGAATTTACTTAAGGCCCACCTTTCAACATCACCATGATTAAGAAGCCACTCAAATAATTGTGGATTGAACTTTCTCATGTTATCCATTGCACCATCAAACTCGGTGTCAAGCCTTGCATATGCAATGGCATCCAGGTATTGCAGTCCCTCCTCCCTTGCTTTCCCACTAGTCTTCCTCTTTCCTCTATTTAATTTAATCATTTGTGCACTGAAGTTTTCCTTAACATGTTTGTAACAGTATGCATGCCTCTCACCACCAAATATTGCTTGCACGGCACCTATTATTGCATTGTGTCGATCTGACACAATTGTCAATTCCATCGAGCCAACTATCTCCTTAATCATATATAAGAACCATATCCAATCCTCAAGTGTCTCTCCCTTTACAATAGCAATCGCAAAAGGTAACAATTCGTTGTCAGCATCATAAGCAGACGCCGACAGTAACGTCCCCTTATACGGTCCACTTAAATGACATCCATCAATGTACAGTACATGTCTAGCACCAGCTATAAAGCCTTCTATACAACACCCATATGCTATGAATGCACGCTCAAATGTGTTATTAGTATTACCCACCCATTTGGCCACAGTTTTGTTATCTGTTTCCTTCAACCGTTCACATATCCACGGAATAAGCATATAAGACTGGTCAGGCTTGCCATGTATGTCCTCTAAAGCTTTTTGCTTCGCCCTGTATGCTTGTTTATATGTCAACTTCATACCATAATCTCTTTCTAAAGTCTTCCTTATATCATTTGAACGCCTGTCTATGTGATCATTTACCTCATCTGTGATGATTGATGCTGTCAAGCTAGCTGAACCACAATGTTCCACACGAAGATTGTCTTGTGCATTATGGACATGCTCATTTATGAATGTTGCCACACGTAAAAAGGGAGTACTCTTTCTACCCACTCTTGCACTTATCCTCCACGGACAACCTTCAACACTACATTTCACATACATTTTTTCCCTACAATTTTTCACATACTTGTACTCAAACTTGTTTGCAATACTGAACTTATGTACTTTCTTCTTGAAATCTTCTGCATTTGCAAAAGTTTGGTTCCGTCCTAACAACAATTCCTTCCATTTCAAAGAATTCATCTCCGGCAAAGGTGTAGGTGCACTCACTACTCCGTATGGTAGGCTTACATTAGGTCTTTCACTGCCTCCAGAACTTGTACTTTCCAAAGCATTTCCCTCCAACGTAGGCTCATCACTCTGTTCTGACAGTCCTACCATTCTTGAGATCCTGCATTTATAATTACCACTGTTGTTAAGAGTTTTACTACAATATTACAACAATTATCAACTTTCATAACCACCAAAAAAAATTTTCTCACTTACATTTCTGGATAACCCATTCCTTCCTCCACATTGTCATTACCTTTATGTGCTATATAAATATGTGCATTACGGTCATTATATTCAAATAGATTATCAACTTCACCATCATCTATAAGATCTACCAATACCCTCTCATCAAAACTCAAAGTGTATTTAATATCACAGCCATGACAATCCATGCTGAACCATTCGCCTATCATTGCCCTCAAATCTTCAAGTTTTGTACCCTCATTTATTACTCTTACTCTGACAGTCCCACCACAGTATTTAACTTCGCCATTGTCATTTTCCACAAACTTCCCATCTACGTGAAAATAACAAGCAAGTCTTTTTGAAGATGTTGATACAATGTTACAAGACATCACCACTTGCTAACCTGCAGCAAACAACATTAAATATAAAAAAATTAACGTCTCCGCCAATTAGTTTCCATCAACGTACGTGACACCCAAAACACACACAAAGAGAGAAACTTTTCTTCTATTCACAACTTTATTATAGGGTTTCACAACTCCATTATTGATTTTAACAACGTTCACTACTTGAACGCAAACTTCACGCCTACGTAATTGCTTGCCACCTTTCTTGATTTCCGCTACGTCATTCGAAATAGTCAATATAAAGTATAAAACCTCATCTCTAGCACACCCGTCCCCACCATTGCGTCATAAAGCTAGAGCCGGGAAAACGGGCCGAGCCCGTTGGGCCGGCCCGTTTAAGTCCGTTTAAGTCAAGGGCCGGGCTTGTATTTTGGAGCATTAAAGGGAAGTCGGGCTTAAAAGGGCCAGCTCTGTAGGGCTGAAAAATAAACGGGCCGGCCCTGTAGGGCTACGGGCCGGCCCGTTTAGGCCCGCCAATTTTTTTTAATTTCTGTCTTTTTTTTCTTAACTTAAAAAAGAAAATCCTAACATTTTAAACATATCATACTCTTAGTTTTACTTATCTTGGCAGCTTACATAGATAGCATTCATAAAAAGAAAAAAAGAATCACTATAGTTGTGCGAAAAATAACTAAAAAAATATGAAAATTGCAAAATTTAAAACTAGGTATATTCACAAAAATATATTGTTAAATAAGTTGTCAAAACCTATTAAAATACTGTAAGTGTAATTTTTACAGTCTTTATTTGTCATTCTCCCATATTTTTATACTTGAAATATAATTGATCAAAAATCTTTTAAACTAAAATAAAGATCTATATCATTTTTATAGTAGAAACAAATTTAGAACTAAGGATGATGGACTCTTTTCTTTTTTGTCGATATGACAAATGATTATTCTTCATGTATACTATGTTTGTTAGTTAAAATTTTTTGTTAATTATTTATAATCAAACTAGATCATCCGCATTGTAATTATCTATTGAACTTAATACTTATTTAGTTGTTTATGTCTGTCCTCTATTTAGTTTGTTTATTCAATAGACTTTATTACACTGTAATATATGTTTAGACATGATAATATTTATATTTGTAACTCAATTTTATTTATATTTATACCTTTTATTAGTAATTTTATTGTTTCATTTTTATTATTTTGATAAAATATACAAAAAAAATAAAAAAAAAAATTTCATTTTAGTTAAAAAGGCCAAAAGCCCGCGGGCTAGCCCGAGCCCGTCATCTCACGGGCTGGGCTTTAAAAAATGACTTATTTTTGGAACTCAGGCTTAAACGGGCCGGCCCGTTTAAGCCCGAGCCCGTAACGGGCCGGCCCATTTTCCCAGTACTACATAAAGCAGACACAAAAAGGAACTACCCAAACCCCACCATCAGTTAATGCGACATGTTTACTCTCTCTCTTGCTACAAACCCTCTTGCCCACAACCAAAATCTATTAAATCAGCAATCCCAAAAAAATGATGATGCGAAGGAGTAAGATTATACCATTTCCAAAGACTACCGACTTAAACTCACCTCTTTTCAGCTCTGATGTGTTCTTCTAGCGTTTCTTTTTCCTTCTTCATGTGCTCAACCGGTGCTCCATCTTTATTTTCATTTCAGTTTCACTTCATTTTACCTCACTGATAAGGGCATTTCGGTCTTTTCGTCAAAAATATGAATTCCAAATTGGTACCCAGTGCCCTATTTGTCATTTTGCTTATTCAGGTCCCTTATTTGTCTTTTTAGAATTCAAGTGGTATTTTATTGTCATTTTCCCAATATACAACCCTTACCCCTATAAGATTTTTAATTATGACTTCCACCCTTCACTTGCTAACCTTGAAAAATTAGCGTGGTAAAGAGTACCCTTTTCGGCCTCCCGCCCAAGGCAGCAGAGGGACCCATGACTTACTATTCTCTTCTTCATTACCGTTTTATTTCATTCATTTATCATTTATCTTCATATTACGTTTTCTCCTGAATTTTAAGACAAGGATTTTTGTTTATGGATAACATTTAAACATGCCTCTGGCAGTGATGGATATGGAGAGATCAGAATTCAGAGGAGAAGTCCTAAGTACTCACTTGTATGTAATGTTAGTAAGAAGTTATTGTGTTATTAATAAATTATACTTCTCTGATTCTTTTTATAGACTCTAATTAATTAGTTCACATAAAATCTCAAAATTAATTTTAACAAAAGTCATGCTGAAAGAAGTTTGGTTAGTTAATTAAATAAATTTATAGTTAGTTGGGAGTGCTACGTTAAAAAATACTAATACTCTAAATAAAATATTTTGTAGTATGAAATATACAGGAAGTCCTGATAATAAGAACCAAATGGAGTAAATAATCACTCAGGTATTAAATGTAAGAAATAAATAGTTAAGTTAATTATCTGTAATAAATATATACTGGTTTTCTTAACACTTCTTTATTGTTATTACCCTCATTAATGAAATCTTCCTTTCATACTACCTCCGGTCTTGTATATAAGTTTCAAATAATCGAATTACATTTAACGAATTAGCAGTTAAAGTTAGTTAAAAATAATAAATAGGTAAGAAATATATCTTTTTTTCCCCTCAAATTTGCTCTTATTTATTAAGAGGGTAAATGAGAGTCAATAAATTAAAAAATGATGAAGGAGAACACATGGGAGTAATATTAACGTGTGAGAGAGTACTAAATCAGTCAAATAAGGGCAAAATAAAAAGAAAAGTAATAAATACTTAGACAAACCAAAAAATAAAACTTACATTTTGGATCAAATCCATATCTAAAAGTGAAGTTTATATATATATAGGACTGAAGGAAGTATATACAATCAACAGGGAAGACTTAAAAAAATTATAAATTTAATAGGCAAAATGAATTATAATTTTATACTTAAGATTAGAATAAACCCTTCAATTAGCTTTTTATTTTGGAGAGGAGGGAAAATAGTTTATTTTCTAACTTTAATCATTCTAATGAAAGGATGACCCATTTGTAGTCCTGCATCAAGTTTGGCCAAATATGTTCAATCCATCCAACTTCTTAAAATTGACTTTTTCTCCTCATAAAAAATTATACTAGTAACTTCTAAATTCTAAATGTTATTAAACTGTGAAGGAATATTAGAAAAATAACAAAATTACATACGGTCTTATCAGAAAAATATCAGAAAAATACAAAGAAGGTTGAAAAGTAAACATATTAGACGGATATGAGATTGAATCAAACTTTTCAAGATTTATGAACAGCTTGCTTTCCTAAGAAATTTGTATATTACATTATATTTATATATTGAATATTAATTATTAGTTTTATCAATCAATTGAACATGTCCTAAGTAGAATCATTTTGTACAACATTCAACTAACCTACTTATTATGCTGCCTCTGGATGTCAAATCCAATCATGAAAGATCCTGTTTTTCTCCTTCTCTGATCTTTTTACCTAAATGCATTTCTCAGGACTGCAAATTTGGCATTGCAACCATGAATCTGACCTTGATCCACAAGGAGCATACCAGGAGATTGATCAACTAGCTTGATGAGTTCTAAGTCTTTATTCTTTCTTTTTTTTGCCAGAGACTTCTAAGTTGAATATACAATTATTGGAGATAAGTTTTCACATGGGATTCATCTACACTTTCACTTTCATGAGTTTTCTTTCCTCTTGCTTGCATCTCAAACAATTCAATTCTACATAGATAAACAAGATAAATCATTACATAATGAATGATGATTAATTATTTACGTAAATGTAACTTTTTATTGGAAGTGTGTTCGAAACATTATCAGATATTGAATGTGAGCACTTCTTTCTAAAGGGATTCAGACCTTGATTGACTAAGTTATAAGAAATTAATTCCTTTTATAATATCCAATTTAGTGTGTTTTTACAATGCAGAATTGATTTTAGGTTGAAAATTATTATTAAAATCACGATTTACTTTTTTAAAAAACCACGACTTCAATTATTGTCAATCAAGAAAAAATTAATTATCTTACCACTCTCACAGAGTCAACATAATTCTGGCTGCAAGCATGGAAGAAAGTAAGAAACAGGGTTGTGTGTTGCACCATAAAATTCGTTGCCATTCAAACCAAAATCCATAAACATCCAATCTTTTTCATTAGTTTTGGGATGTTATCTATTTATAAAATGATATTCAATTTTAAAGATTGACTAAAAAAGAAGAAGAAATTCATCTAAAATTAAACTATATATGATTTAAATTAAATAAATTCTATTGCTCACTTCTGAATCCCTCTCTCCATCTCTTCCCCTTTACCTACCACTCATCAATAGCATCTATGAAGGGGAATTGATTGGAGAGCACATGCTGACAAATCCAGAAGCACATATCAACAACACAGCATCTTTCTCTATCCTCTTTTTATCATCATCATCCTGGTGAGCCCCCCAATTCATAATTTCTCTTTTCCTTTCCCAGAAAATTTATTCTATTTTCTTAAAGTCTTTTTGGGTTTTAAAAAAATTTATGAAATTGAAAAATCAATCAGAGCCTCAAAGCTGTGCTTGTTGTCTCTCATAAAACTGGGCCTCCTCTGTTTCTGAAGGGATCCGAGGCTTCTCTTTCTTTCTCTCTTCTCTGAATCTTTTTGATCTTTTCCTTTTCCAGGGACCCACTATGAGATAAAGAAATCAAATTTTTTGTGCTTTTAATAATATTTTCCGTTTTATATACGTTAGCTTCTTAATTTCGTGATAAGCCTGGGTTCAATTTTCTTTGGTTCCCCTGTCTTCCTCTGTTCTCTTTCCTGGTTTCTGCTTTATTTTCTCGGAAAACGACAATTTTCCGAGAAAATAAAAAAAAAAGAGAGAAAAATGTTGACTCCTCACTAGTTATCTCTGCGGCATTTGCTATTAACTCATCCGAACCTTCCATTTCTTGCCTTCTCTTCTGCCAAATTTGCAACTTTCCCGAGGAATTCTCCATGTGAACGCCAAGCCGAGCAAGATTTCTCTCCGGGACCAGCTGAATTCTTAGGAATTCTTCACTTTACAAGTTCGGTTTCTCGCCGTGATTTTCTCAGGAACTGCAGATTCCGATCAATTTCTTGGGAAACTGAGAATGGAAGGTCGCCGGAGAATGACTCTTTATGATCAAATGTCTGCCGTCGACGGCCGCCGAGACTCGCTTGCGGGCTCGACCCTCGAAGCCGTGATGGCAAGCCACAAGATAGCCTCCGAGTCGAGCCGCCGCCAGTTCAGCGGCAGCCGAACCCTCTCTGACATCATTCGAGAAGACAATTCCAACACGAAGGACAAGAAATCTTGGAAAATCTTCAAAGACAAGCTCTGGCTCAAGCGCGCCGGATCTGCTTGGTTCTCCACAATCAACATCCCGGCCTTGGATATCTCTATCCCTAACCGGAATAACAACAACTCCGACGCCCCGTCAACAAGTAACCCACCTGACTTCTCAGGTCAGATCTTAGCCAGAGCTCGATCTTCCCTCAACGACGTCTTCTCCAGCGAGTCGAGGCCCCAAACCTCGCGCTCCGATTCCTTCCGTCGAGACGGCACGGTAACTTTCCGGGACTGCCTAGACAGCGACGGCGACGGATCCGAGTGCGACGACTGGGATCCCGCGCGTGAAGGCACGCGCCGCCTATCAACAATTCTATCAGAGGAGAGGGCATTGTCTGCGAGAGAAGCTGAGACAGCCGCCGCGGCATCTTCGGCGGCGGTGGCGGCACAGGGGGTAGACGAGCCGGTGAGGATGTCGCTGACGCTGATGGATTTACTGGAGGAGACAGATAGGCAAATGGGGTTTGATGCATCACGATACAGAACAGGATACGAAGATGACGACGAAGAAGTATATCAGAGGATAAAAATGGTGGAAAAGGAAGAAGAAGAAGAAGCTGAAGAAGAAGAGGAAGAAGAAAGCAAACGATGGAGCATACAGGAAAATTGTTGTGTGTGTATGGTGAGGCACAAAGGAGCAGCGTTTATACCATGTGGACACACATTTTGCAGGCAGTGTTCGAGGGAGCTTTGGGTGAGCAGAGGCCACTGTCCACTCTGCAACAATGTTATTCTGGAGATTCTTGACTTGTTCTGATTCATTCATCTTTCATCTCCGTTTTTGAGCTATCTGAATGTTCCTCATTCCATATATTTCTTTTCCGTTTCTGTTTCTATTTTTACGTTCCCCTCCCTTGTAAAGTGGAGTTTGAGGTATGAATTAAAAAAGATAAAGTGTGGATGATGATGAAATGGGAATGAACAGAGGTGTAATTTTTCTAAAAGGTATATGCAGATACCCTTTCCATTCCATGCACATGGCATATTTTAGAAAACACTCTTACTCTTTTTACAAGGTTAATTTTAAAGAATATTACCTTTATACTTAAATATAAGATTAGTATAATTTACACTGTAGTTGTTATATTTTTGGATTGGAGGTAGTATTAAATACTATCTTAGCTGCCAAGAGTTTGTGGAGAAGTTTTTCCTCTCTTGTTTACTTTGTCGTTTAAATTTATAATCCTTTTTCTAAGCTCTCCTTGAACATATCATGAGTTATTAACTAAGAAGTAGTTTCCGATACAAATAATTATTGGGTTATATTTTAAGGAATTAACATTTTTTTTAATAAATAATAACTTAACTAATTTTTTAATCTTTATAAATCAGTAATTAGCTTTATACATGTTGATTTTTTTAGGGTTCATACAATATTTGTCTCTCAAATTCGTATTAATTTTGATTTTAGTTCATCAAGTTTCAAATTAAAGTTTTGGTTTCTCAAGAAACAAAATGGTTCAGATTTTCATTAAAATTACACAAACCAATGTTTCAAATAAAAAGAAATTTAAAGGATCAATATTTGTGGTTTGAAATTTTAGAGATCAAAAACTAAAATGAGATAAACTTAAACCAAAAATTGTATTAACTTTTATATATATATATAAAAGGGATGAGAAAGTAAAAATTACATTAACAAAATTTAAGATTTTTTTTAATTTTAGTGATACGAGAATTATAAATAAGATTAGGATAATACTTGATTCAAGAGTAAGGAATGCAAGTGTTGCAATTTGTTGATAAGATTGTGGTCAGATCATGTATTGGCCAGAAAGCATAATAAAACAAGATCAAGTTCACTGGCAGTGGCACTTGCTTGCTTTACACATATAGAAAATTTGACTTAGCGTCTGTGTTTTTTCTTTGGGAAAGCGATTTACGTTGCAATGGTGGCCAAAAGAAAGCACATTTTCCCCACCCACTCATTCTCTTTAGGTGAGGAGAATCTTTTGCAACAGGGAAAAATTAACGATTTCAATTTAAAAGCAAACTTTATCCATTCACATGAGTTGGTTGAATTATTTTAAACGGTGAGAATTGTGAACAAGGGGAAAAAAATATACTCCTCTGATCCTTAATATAATACCCATTTAACTAATTTGATTAAATTAAGAAAGTTAGGTAAGTTAATTAATTATAAGAAATGTGACACGTTTTTCCTAAATTACCGTAATCATCTTTCTCATTACTCCTTTTTCCTCTTCTATCTGATTATGGTTGAGGGAATATTCATAAAGGTAATTTAGAAAAAATTGATAAATAGGAGAAATGGGTCTTATATTTATGACTAAAACCAACTCAACAATTGTGTCATATATTAAGGACCGGAGGAGTAGCTTCCTTTTCATTAGACAGAACAATGGCCAGTAGAAAAATTTAAACATTAGATTCACTCTCAATTTCATTTTAAAAATAAGTTAAGCACTATAGAACAAAATTGCTGAAAAGCCTCCATTGCAAAAAATTTATTGTGCAGGGGCATATGAAATTTGTTTAAAAACCTAATTGCAACCTATTTTTTGTGAATGCAACTTTTTTTTTTCAGTTGTGTGTAACTTATTTGCAAAATGAAAATTATTTGCCTGTAGTTAAAATAAAAAGATCGCTTTAAAACTTAGGTCCTTGAGTAGTGTGGAGCAATAATTTTGCAATTTGGACATTTCAATAAATTTTTTTCCAAAATTATAATGTCAAACTTAACAAATTGTTGCCTTGGGGAGTTGGAGCCATAACCTTAGCTTTGGATGAATAACATAACGCTCCTTCCGTTGATAACAAAAGACATATACTCCTTCCATTAAGCAAACTTTTGGAATGTTTGATGTTTCAGAACATAAAACAATGCATAAAATTTTAGAAATAATTCATATTTTTTTCAGATGTTCTAATCAATTAATGAAAAGACTTGGTCCAACTTAGAATGAAGTCAAGAAAATGATAAGTATTGATCGAGGGTAAAAATGACAATATGAAAGAAAAATTAAGATATAAATTAGAAATATTTTATTGTTCTTTTTTTTTTAAAACAAAAAAAAGGGAGAAAACTCACCCACACCACACACTTGCCCTGTGGTCCTGGCTAAAAGTGGAATAAAAAGGGAATAGAGAGATTCACCAAAAAGAAAAAAAAAAGGGAAAGAGAGCATATACTATTGGGCCAGAGTTTTAAAAACTTCATCGGATGAATATTGGGCCTTTCACTACAGATGAATGTGGGGCCACCCTTAGTTTTTCTTGTTCCCAAATTCCAATCATTTAATTCACACAAACTGAAAAAACTCCTCATATACTTATTTTCGACTTCATAAAATTACTTTTAAAAAATTGTTTCTTTCTTTTATTCTTTTTCTTTTGCATGGCCAATGCAGTACCAAGTTCCAGAATTATCGTCTTGTCATAATATTTCTTACTCATTTCCAAGGCAAGTTAATATTTCCGTCTAAGCCATCACAACGAACTTAATGAGCTATTCTCTTGTAGTTACTACTGTATGGTATAAATCTGTTGGAAGATGACGAAAAGCTAAAAGCTAAAAGCACTAGCAATACAAGGTCAGTGAGGCAAACTTTTCCAACTAACAAAAAATATACCAATAGTCTTAAAAAGAATGAGTTAAACCCATGAACAGCAACAAGTAGATAGCTTTCACAGTTGATTTAAACATCTAATTTTGAGTTGCACAATTGTCCCTAAGAGTATTTGTCAAGTTAGAGCCAGTAAATACACCAAGTCGACATGAATGAGACGAAAAATACACCAACTCAACCTGAGTCATATTTTGGCTGGTCATAAAACAAAAACCTTGGTCCGAAACCATACTAAGAATGAAATATACATTAATGTATTGTCTATTTTCTGCATTCTCCTTCTTTGACTGAATAATTTGAAAGCCATGAAATGAAAAAAAAGGAGGAAAAGGGAAATGCAGCACAGGAAAAACCCATTAAAAAAAAAAAGTACGATACAAGACAAAAACTAAGATTGATACAAATATCTATGTGATTCAATTACAAAAAGCAAGCTTCAGCTTGGTAAAATTGCCATTCTAAGACATGGAATTATCTGGAGCTAAGAAACATCATCATCTCATTACAGATTTAGGTCAAATCATGGACTGTGAATAAGACAAGCAACACTACTAAGGTGTCAATAACAGGAAAAAGAAAACTTTGCACTGTTGCAGTATTAACTTCTATAATCTGCCGGATATATATTACAGAAGATCAACTCAACCCCATCTATTAGGGGTTGAGACAAAAAGTTAGTACTTAATAACTTACAATTTAGCCTTTAGTTCTCATGATTGTAATGCTGCCTTTTCCTCCTTCTGTGCGAATCTTCGTCTTCCCAACTACAGGCTTCCCTGAAAAGGCTGATTTAGGGTAAGCAGATGGATCTTCTTCACTGCTTTTTTTGGGGTTTTGAAGGAGGTGGAGTTTGAATCCGCTGGTTTATTTCTTTCAGCGTTACATCTCCATGAGCACCACTGGGTTTGATGAAGGCAAATGGATAGGCCACTGAAGAAGCCAATTTTGTGGGTGCTCGTATGAAAGATTTCCTCCCTACACACATAAAACCAGTCTGAAGTGGTTAGATTTTCATCTCAAAAAATTATATGCTGCTGTTTGCTACAACTTATTGCTTAAGGGATGTTGTTATATTCTTTTACATATCAATATCATATAGCATACAAGGAGATTTACTCAAGTTACATGTCACTAGAGGATAATTCAAATAGAACCTAAGAGGATAGCTTGCAAAGGAAGACCACATATAGAACGAAGTTAAACCTTTAAAGATTATATTTTTGGGTGTTCGGGTGACACGCTTCTGAGCCACATTTTGTTCATAAGCTGGTGAGACATCACAGGGCTCTGCAAGACAAAACTAATAGTATGAATAACATGAAGGAGAAAATTTTAGGAGAATTTTTAGGATTTGCTATCAGGTTCTCTAGCAAAAATATGACAAATGAATATTTTATATAGCTCGACAATACATGATTAGGTCTTTTGAAAAAGTTTGGCCACGTGTTATATTTTACAGGAGAACTGGATAATAAACACCTAAAGAACTGTGGGTAGGTCTTTTCCTAGCATAAAAACATACATAAAAAAGGAAAAGGAAGAAAAAGACAAAATCAAAGAATAATGTCGGATGGCAAGCAATATGTCTTGTACCTGAGACATTAATCTGAACATTGTCTTGCCCCGAAAAGTTCCTACGTCAGATAATGTAATTGTCAGATCATTTTCTAAAACTGAGTATATGCCAAAAATCAGATTTGAAGAGACATACATAATATCATCAGGACTAAAATCCATTTCAGCATCATTAAAGCATTGTGCAAGCCATCCTTCGGCTGACTGCTCAAGATCCTCACAACTGGAGCCAGATGCATTTCCTAATACATATTCCATCAAAATTGGAGAAAGATCCAAAATAAACATCCAACTATGCAATCAAAGAAGAATCTAGCAATAGGCAAACCTGATGTCTCAGATAACAATTGTGAAACTTCGAAAAGAACATCTTTCATTGAGCCTTCCTTCCCCTATGTACATAATTGAATAACATAATCTTTTTTAGGATCTGACTTACTGAAAGTCATGAACGCTTGAAAGCATTTATGCAAAATACAATAAATGAATTGTGTGGAAGACTATATCCCCATATGCACAAAAAGCACTAATGCAATGCAAATCCCTCAACAAGAAGTTTGGGTCCTGCAATGATTAAGAGGCAGAATTGTACACCAAGCCATCGCATCATAACAAAAATATTAAGAAGAAAATATGTGAATAAGGTCCACTTAGCAGAATCAGTTGAATAATAACACAAACAAAAAGATTAATTTTTCTTCAAACAAGATGACTATGAGAAATATGGCTCTAACAACGAGAAAGAGA